AGAATTAACAGCGAGTTTTGAAGTCGAGAGCTCGCAAGGTGAGCGTCGCCTGCTGCTGTTCATTCCAGAAGGGCTTCTGTTGGAGGAGGAGGGGGTCCTCGACACCTAAGATGCGGAGGCCAGTTTGTTCTCGGGCTCCCTCTCTTTTTTTTTGGTCGGAGGAAAGAAAACAGCTCTGCGCCCGGATGCGTACAGAGCCGTCAAGTGGAAACGGGGACACACCCTGTTTCCCGCCCGCCCCAGCTGGAGCCGCGGCGCGCGGAGCCAGCAGGCGGGGCGGGGACGCGCCGGGTGGGAGCGCCCACAGCGCGGAGCCGCCAGGCGCTGACGAGGAGCCAGGCCACGGGAGGATGCGCCGCTGACGCCTGCAGGAGCCGCGCGCCAGGGCGGGAGGATGCTCCCGAGGGGCCTTTGGTCGTGGCGCGCGCGGCTGCTGCTGACCCCCTGCACCTGGGGCCCTGCGAGCCCGTGGCCGCTGCAGCCGTTGCCCCAGGTAAGAGCGGGTGCGGGGCCGCGGGGTTCCGGGGTAGGCGGGTGCAAAGTTTGCGTCGGACAACTTCGGCGGGAGTAAAAGCCGAGCGGCCGAGCAGTCGCCTGCGTTTTGCTGGCTGCCGGGCTCAGCGCGCCGGGAGGTCCCCACAGGTGGTGGCCGGGCGGCAGACGTGGGTCACGGAGGCCAGGGCGGAGGTCAAGACCCCGGGCTCGGGGAAGGTGAAACCAGAGCGCCGAGGCGGGGGGCGCCTCACCCGAGCGGAGATGGGGTGCAGGGATCACCGGACTTCGGCCTGGGAGCGGCAGAATAACCCGAGAGGCAGTTTCTGCGCTGCAGCCCTAGGCAGGCAGGAGTAAGTTTGCAGAGCCGCTGCGCCGGGGGCCGGTTCCCTCTCAGTGGTCGGTGTCCGAGCCTCTAAGGGGGTCGGAAACGATGAACCGGGCGGTGACTGTCCTGAGTGTGGACGGTCGCAGGGGAGTGAAATTTCCATCCTGAAATCGGCGAGCACCTCCCTTTCCCGGAGGGAAGAAAAACTCGCGTTTTGTTCAGACGCCCGAGAGATGGGTGAATCATGAGTGTGTGCTGGTGAGTAACAGTTGGCCTGACACCGTTGTATTGTGGTCTGTGGAGAACCGTGGCTTGGAGGAGGAGGAGAGAGTGGATGTGCACCAAAAAAGACACAAGAAGAGGGGGAAAGCACCGAGTTTAACCAGGATTGCGGTGGAGCCTGACAGGAGCCCGGGAGCCCAAACGCTGACGCTGATGAGGAAAGACAGCCTTTAAAAAAAAGCCTTCAGGCTGTGTGTGGTTGGGGAGGGAGCCGTTTCTGAGTTTTAGTTTGTTCCTCCTCCACACTGTTAGATTAGTTTCAGATTGTTAAAGGGAAAAAGAAAAGCCAAAAGTAAGCAGTGCTATTCTCTCGTCACTTTCACTTCCTGTTTATTTTGTTCTTTTTTTCTTTCCCCCATTTTCCTCTGTCTCAGGGCTTCAGTTTCAATTGATGCAGGGAATATATAAGTGCATTTTTATTCCTTTTCATTGAGTTTGTGCCCAAAGGATTAAATGCATTTAAACAATCAATTCCCGTAATGTTTGAACGAGAATGAGGAAGGCCATGTTGTTAGTAAATGTAAGAAAAGGGGCAAACTCCTTACAGTGTAAAATGGCAGACTTATAAAGTCATTGGAGAGGTAGGCATTTTACACTTTTAAAGACTGTACTTTTATTATAAGTGTTGCATTTCCTAGTCAAAGATATATTAAACATTAAAACAACCCAATACGAGAAACACTTTTCACACACCATTTAAACACAGATGATTGTTTTCTTTTTCTTTCTTTCTTTTTTTTTTTTTGAGATGGAGTTTCGCTCTTGTTACCCAGGCTGGAGTGCAATGGCGCGATCTCGGCTCACCGCAACCTCCGCCTCCTGGGTTCAGGCAGTTCTCTTGCCCCAGCCTCCTGAGTAGCTGGGATTACAGGCACGCGCAACCATGCCCAGCTAATTTTTTGTATATTTAGTAGAGACGGGGGTTTCACCATGTTGACCAGGATGGTCTCGATCTTTTGACCTCGTGATCCACCCGCCTCGGCCTCCCAAAGTGCTGGGATTCCAGCCGTGAGCCACGGCGCCCGGCCCTCTTTTTTTTTTTTTTTTGAGACGGAGTGTCCCTCTCTTACCCAGGCTGGAGTGCAGTCGCGGGATCTTGGCTCACTGCAACTTCCGCCTCCTGGGTTCAAGCGGTTCTCCTGCCTCAGCCTCCCCAGTAGCTGGGATTGCAGGCACGCGCCACCACTGGGGTTTCACCAGGTTGGCTAGATTGGCTGGTCTCGAATTCCTGACCTCGTGATCCTTCCGCCTTGGCCTCCCGAGGTGCTGGGATTACAGGTGTAAGCCACCAGCACCTGGCCCCAAGTGTTTTCTATTAAGTCCATCTAACACCTTGAGTAGCATTTTTATGAATCCCAGGACTGCCTGTCCTTTCTCAAATTATCAACTCCAAACCCTTTTCTCCATATTTACCACCTGATGCTGTCTAGGGTGGTGCCATTGCATACCTCAGCAGGAATGTGGATGCCCTTTTAAAAGAAAATGGCCTAATAACAGGGAAACAGTAGTTAGTACTTTGCCTCTAGGAATCATCCTAAGAAGTCTTATGTTTGAATGTTTCCAGTTTGCACTTTTTTGTTTTAAGCCAACTGTCCAGCTGTAAAGACAATTTTCAGAACTTAAGAAGTGGGAATGCTTCAAGCATCATTTTACCTGTCTGATAAAAGACCCCCCCCAGGGTGGGGGGGAATAAGACCTGTGAATCTGCTTCTTTATATGCAGCTTTTAAATTTTACCATGAAGAAACTGATAGAAATATTCTGGCTCTTGAGGACTTTTAGCTAGGACTACTAAACCATTTTCTGCAAATCATTACCTGGCTATCGGGACATTTTTCATTCTAAGGTTTCGCTGTTTTGTGGTTTTCCCACTTGATATGAAATGTCCTGTGGCTAAAGGCAAGTATTATTTATATATATTTTTCCCACAAACATTCAAACCCCTAGAGCCTATGAAGCAGCTAGAAAAACAAGTAGTTTGTGACCTGACAGCTCATAAAATCCTAGCTTGCAAGGACTTGTCACGAGCAGTATTTCAAATAAGTGTTCCCAATTATAATTGGTCTTTCTGAAGTCTTTCACACTCCTGTGAGTGTGCCTTAATAACTTCTAAAAATCCACAGTTCTTATCCTGCATATGGTACATAAGCAATTGTCTGCCAATGGTTTCTGGGTGAGGGGAAAAAGGCTGTTGACATGGATATACAGAATTTTTTTTTTTTTTTTTTTTTTTTGAGATGGAGTTTCGCTCTTGTTACCCAGGCTGGAGTGCAATGGCGCCATCTCGGCTCACCGCAACCTCCGCGTCCTGGGTTCAGGCAATTCTCCTGCCTCAGCCTCCTGAGTAGCTGGGAGGCGCCACCGTGCCCAGCTAATGTTTTTGTATTTTTAGTAGAGACGGGGTTTCACCATGTTGACCAGGATGGTCTCGATCTCTTGACCTCGTGATCCACCCGCCTCGGCCTCCCAAAGTGCTGGGGGATTACAAGCGTGAGCCACCGCGCCCGGCCAGAATTGTTTTTTAAAGAACACACATTTAGGCTGAAGCATAGTAGAGCAAGAGTATATTGTATTGTCTTTGGCCAAGGCATGGCCTGATGGCCATAATCACATTCCGGTGGCAGCATCTCTGCTTGTCAGCACTCTAGCCGAGTGGTTGTCAGGGCAATCCATGGCTCCTGCTGATGTTTCTGTGCACAAGGACTCAGCTTTGAGTAATTATGGTGCTTGGTGAATTACATCTAAACAGAAAACCCCTGCCTAAATGTGCCTTTCTTAATTTGGGTTTTCTGCTACTTAGACTGAGAAACTCCCTGATATGATTTCATGTCCCTAATACAGCATTTGAGTCCCTACATAAGCTTTGTTTAAAAAATTTTTACATAGCCGGGCGCGGTGGCTCAAGCCTGTGATCCCAGCACTTTGGGAGGCCGAGGCGGGTGGATCACAAGGTCAAGAGATCGAGACCATCCTGGTCAACATGGTGAAACCCCGTCTCTACTAAAAATACAAAAAATTAGCTGGGCATGGTGGCGCGTGCCTGTAATCCCAGCTACTCAGGAGGCTGAGGCAGGAGAATTGCCTGAACCCAGGAGGCGGAGGTTGCGGTGAGCCGAGATTGCGCCATTGCACTCCAGCCTGGGTAACAAGAGCAAAACTCCGTCTCAAAAAAAAAAAAAAAAAATTTTTTTACATCAAGCACTTTGCAGAGCAGCTTAAGTATTGAGTATGCCTTTTTTTTAACTTCTAAAAACAAAGCATATGACTGTGTAAATTCCACAAGATGTCAATTTAGAAATTGTTTTCGTCTTTTTAATGTAATGAACATATTTGTTCTTGTTTGACATGTTCCTGCTGTTCTCTTGTATTTGCAGTTGGTGCACTGTATTCTATAAAGCTAGCCTGAGAGCCCTCTCCTGAGGAGAGCAACTTGGTTATGTGTTCGAGATTGTATTTACACTAACTGAGCTTGGGTCATTGAATAGAAATGAGCAGCTAAGGAGGATCACTTGAGCTCACAGAGTTGAGACCAGCCTGGGCAACAGAGTGAGACCTTGTCTCTACAAAAAAACCAAAGACACACACACACACACGCACGCAGGAGGATCACTTGAGCCCACAGAGTAGAGACCAGCCTGGGCAACAGAGTGAGACCTTGTCTCTACAAAAAAAA